GAATTAGGCAAGGGGACCCACTATCACCATTCCTATTTACCTTGGTCAGCGATGTTTTAAGCAGAACAATTGAAAGGGCTCAAGCTGCTAACCTAGTTCATGGAATTGCTTCAGGACATGATAAAGTGGAAGTTTCTCACCTTCAATTTGCAGATGATACCATTTTTCTTCTAGATGGTAAGGAAGAGTATTGGTTAAATCTCCTAGAGTTGCTGAAGCTGTTTTGTGATGTTTCCGGAATGAAGATTAATAAGGCTAAAAGTTGCATCTTTGGGATCAATATTAGTATCGAAGCTTTGAATAACATGGCGGGCAGTTGGGGATGCGAGGTTGGTTGTTGGCCGATGATATACTTGGGTCTTCCTCTCGGGGGAAACCCAAGGGCTCTTAATTTCTGGAATCCAGTAAAGGATAAGGTGGAAAAACGACTTCAAAAATGGAAGAGGGCTTGTTTATCCAAAGGGGGAAGGTTAACACTAATCCAAGCTGTTTTGAGTAGCATCCCTTCTTACTATATGTCATTGTTTAAGATGCCTTTAGGAGTGGTTGCCAAAATTGAACAGCTTATGCGTAACTTTTTATGGGAAGGACTAGAAGAAGGGAAGAAAAATCACTTGGTCAGGTGGGAAAGGGTCACTAGAACGAAAGAGGAAGGTGGTCTTGGTATTGGCTCCTTAAGAGAAAGAAATGAAGCCCTGAGAGCTAAATGGTTGTGGAGATTTCCACTAGAAACCAACTCGCTAAGGCACAGGATCATTAAGAGCAAGTATGGAACCGACTCAAATGGGTGGGATACTAAAGAGTTAGTTAATGTGTCTTGCAGGAATCCTTGGCGAGAAATTTCAAAAGGGTATAACTCTTTCCTTCAATGCTGCAGATTTTCTGTTGGAAATGGGGAGAAAATTAGATTTTGGGAGGACCTTTGGCTGAAAGAAGGGATACTAAAAAATAACCGGAACTCCGTTTGCGGATTTGTGCATAATCAAAAGGATAGAGGTGAAGGGACTTCGAAGGTTCCAGGCGAGGGGACCTCTATCCAAGCGGCAGAGAATTTAATTATCCCTGCTTTTATGTCGGCATTACCTAATAAGGCCACAACAGAAAATGTGATGTCGCTGGGCCCAATTAATGTCGAGCCCATTTTGCAACATTCAGCCCAAGTTAATCCCTTGGGTGTTTTTTCCTCTGAGCCCAAACTTTTTCAGAATATTAGGTCCTTCAGTGAACCGGGCCCTATTTGTGGGTTAGAAAAGAACATGAATTCTGATCCCCAGTCAAAGAGTGACTGTACGACAACTAAGTCGAGGACACAAACTAGATTCCTATCAAAATTCGGCAGAACAAATGGTGAAGGAAGTAGGGGTTCCAGAAAAGGTCTATCTCACATCGACGATCGACTTTCAAGTGCAAGCGCTCTGCCGCAGATCTGTTCCCTCCCCCCTTCGTCGATCGCCGATAGAGATGAGGATGATTCCATTTCATCGATTTGCCCGGAATCTGTGGATTCATTGGCCAAATCACCTTCGTCGGAATCTGAATTCGTCGACGAGATCTCGTCGACCGAGGAGAAGGAAAAGATAGATGCTTTTGCCAATGAAGAGGGGATTCTTAATGACATCTTTACTAATCCTGTTGCAAATTTCCAGCCAGATGAGCAGAAAGGAATAGAAGCTGATGATGATGCAACTTTTGTTCCAGAGACCATTCCAGAAGTTCTTTACTACTCCAGAAAAAGAAGGAAGAGTCGAGGTCAGGGACGCAAAGATGGTCTACCTAAAGCACTGCTGCACAAAATGGATATATCTTTGATGCCCCTAAAGAAGAACCTGGCCTATAGAAGACATGGTAAACCTTGTATTTCCAACGGTGACCCAGGTCCGAGGGGCACCGGAAAAAGTAAGCAGAAGATAAGGGAATCTACTTCTTATCAATGAGGATAATTAGCTGGAATATTAGAGGTCTGGGAAGTAGAAGGAAAAGATTATTGGTAAAAGGGCAACTACGGAGAATCAAACCAGACATAGTAATTTTGTTGGAAACTAAAAAGGAGATAGTGGACAGACAATTGGTGGCAGGTGTTTGGGGGTCAAGGTTCAAGGAGTGGGTATTCTCTCCTTCCCTGGGAAGGTCTGGTGGCATAGCAGTTTTGTGGAATTCCCAATCCGTTTCAGTAATTGATTCTATGGTTGGTGAATTTTCAGTATCTATTAGAATTGTTGAAAGTATTGGGACGGAATGGTGGCTGTCCGGGATTTATGGCCCATGCAGACAAAGGGAAAGAAATCGTTTTCGGGAAGAATTGGCGGATCTGTACGGGTATTGTGGCGATAATTGGTGTCTTGGAGGTGACTTTAATGTGGTCCGTTTCGCAGCTGAAAAGTCAAATGAAGGAAGAGAGACTAGAAGCATGAGAGATTTTAATGATTTTATCCAAGAAACAAACTTACGGGATCCCAATCTCCTCAACGCTTCTTTTACTTGGTCTAATCTAAGAGAAAATGCTGTTTGTAGAAGACTGGACAGATTTTTGGTGTCGAGCAGCTGAGAAGATTATTTCCCTCATTACCGCCACAAAGCCTTGCCGCGAATCACATCGGATCACTGCCCTATAGAGCTGGACACCTCTAGGGTAAAATGGGGTCCTTCACCCTTCCGTTTCGAAAACATGTGGTTGAGTCACCCGGACTTTAAGAGGAATATCAAGCAGTGGTGGGGTGAGGATCAGATATCGGGTTGGGAGGGATACAAATTCATGATGAGGCTAAAAATGCTAAAACAGAAATTGAAAGTATGGAGCAAGGAGATATTCGGGGAAGTTGAGCGAGATATACAGGGTTCTTTTGGATATTTTGGGGAAGGTGAGAATAAATAGTTCTAGATTGGATCGGAGATCATGGGAGATTGAGTGGCACGGCTCGTTTTCATGCAGGTCTTTCAGGTCTTTTCTTCTCTCTACCACCACAGATGTTTTCTCCCCTTTCAGCTCAATCTGGAAGGCGAAGACACCTCCGAAAATCCAATTTTTCGTGTGGCTGGTAGCAAATGGCAAGATTAATACTTGTGATTGCATTCAAAGGAGGCAACCTAAGATGTGCTTATCTCCTTCTTGGTGTGTTCTTTGCAAAGAGAATGCAGAAAGTATTGATCACTTGTTCATTCACTGTTCTTATTCCCTCAAATTATGGTGGAGGATGTTGGGTGCTCTCGGAGCGGAGTGGGTCATTCCTAAAGGGTGTTTTGAGCTCCTTAGTATCAATTTGAGGGCGTCGGGGAAGGGGAAGAGAGCTGGAACCCTTCGAGATTGTCTAGTTCATGCTATTTTCTGGAATATATGGATGGAGCGTAATCGAAGAATTTTTCAGGGTCATACAGGAGTAAGGGTTGAGGAATTATGGGATAGAATTAAATTTTAGGCATCTCTTTGGGCTTCGATTTCGGGACAATTTAAGGATTATCACTACTCTATCATCTTGAGGGACATGACGGCCGTCTTAAGATGATGTCACTTATGTTTTTGTGTTTTTAATTACAGAATCTTTCTGTCTTAGTTGGTCAGATACTCTTCATTATAGGTTTTGTTGCTTGATCGAGGTTTTTTTCCTCTTGATTATCAATACAATGTTTCTATT